AGGATCTTTTGGCGCTCAAAGCAGAACGTGGATTTTGCATTTTTAATGTGCTATTGCCACGGTCTCTCGCAGTACTATCTTCATTTAGAAGACGATGTATTCCCAGCGCCAAGCTTTTATCGCAAGCTCCGTGATTTTATCTCATCGGTTAAGACAACTTGGCCCATTCTGGACGCTTCCTTCATGGGACACGTAGCCAAAATTTATCACGCCAACGACCTGGAGAATCTTGCCACCTATTTTTACCTTATGTACGACGAAATGCCCGCAGATTGGTTGATTTTATTTTGGCGACAGATTAAACATGATGGACCTTACCATCCAAAGCTCACTTTTCCTCCAGCTTCCCTGTTTCAACATATTGGAAGTCACTCTTCTTTTGCGGAAAACAAGGGCCGTGATACTAACACATCGAGGGAAATATATTTTGACCAGTACGATCTCAAATACAAGGGTTTGAATCCTTTGGCTAACGTCAGCAGCCAAATGACGTCTAGTTATGGACATCCTCAAGATGCTTACAACAGAGGTTATGGCTATTTCTGGAGCAAGAAAGTCAAGAAAGATGACTTTATTATTGTCCAGTTTACTCCAGCAGTGTCTATACGTAAAGTGTTCGTTGATACAGGCTCTTATATTGCTCCTGATGATCATCTTCGGTCGGCTGTTTTGCAAGCAAGTTCTAACAATAAAAACGAACTGCAGACCAATGCAAATGGAATTAAAACTTGTACAGTGTTTGAGACAATAGGAAATTTCCAACAAGGGAAAGTCGAAGTCACTTTCAATGAAAGTAAAATCACATCTTGTTTACGGGTGTTGGTGACACAAAACCATACTAACTGGGTTTTCTTCAGGGAGATTGATGTTTGGCAAGTTTAAACTCAAGTCTTTGTGTTTAGGCCCTAGTTCAGTTTCAAGTTTGCGGAGAGGACTCTTATAGGCAAGAGACTATCTCGTTTCCCTCATTCTTTTGGTTAGTACCGAAATGACCTTTGTATTGACAGACTCCAACAACAACAACAGCCACAATAATAGCAATAACAACCACACGAGTAACACCCACGACAACGATAGAGGTAGTCAAAGATATTAACAGGATTGTTTTTAAAATTTTTGCGTAGAGGTCAAGATAGAGTTGTAAGAACAGCAATGATTAATTCTTATGAAAATGGAGGGTTAAGGGTGTTAGACCTTGAGACTCTGGTAAAATCTGTCAGGTTGTCGGTTCAAAAGGTTGCATGCCAGTGAAAACGCTGGCTGGAACTGTTACCTCACTCATATGCTTAAACCATTTGGAGGTGTCTTTCTTTTTCACTGTGACTATCCTGAGGATTATAATATATCAAATCAATTCTATGCCGAGTTGATTAAGTTCTGGGCTGAGTTTAGGAACGCCGTCTCTGATAAGGACAATAAAAGCTCAATTATGTGGAATAATAAAAACACAAGGATAGATGGCAAACCTGTTTTTTATTTAAAAAAAGTTCTTTGAAAAAAACCTAACGTTACTCAGTCAAGTAGGTTTATCAAAGAACAATTTGGATTCATTGGATGTTATTAGATAAGAAACGAATGTTAGTTGTAATTTCTTAGAGTTGTCCGGGTTTAAGATCGGCAATACCCTATTACTTGAGGAAGGATGGTGGTGACAGTAATATAACAAAGTTGGGTTTTTTTCGTAATGATGCTTTCTACGACGTAAGTTTGGCCAAAAGCAAACAGTACTATAATTTGTTAATTCAATTAAAAGCTACCTTACCAAACGCTGCAAAAACGCTGAAGGATAAGTTTAACATGAGATATGAGGATTATCTAAGGTATACCTTCTACCAATAAAAGTTGGCATAGAAACGTCTTTAAGAAATTTTAAGTTAAAGGTGGCTCAAAACAGTTTCCAGCCCTTAGATTTTGATAAGTTGTTATAACCTCTCAAAAAACTGCCCAATCATTGGTGGACACGTTGTTATCATTTTCGCGACACAATACGTTACCGTAGCAACAGTATGACCCGCTAAAAACACTCTTAATTACAGCTTTAGGGGCTTATAATTCAAAAACTGCACGGTGAATTTTTTTATATTATCAAATTTTAGTAAGCATGATAAGACGCAAGTTCTGGCAAAGTTAAAAAAAATTCTGTACATAGGGTTCAGAGCTACCTTAAAGTTTTGAAAATTTAAGGTGGCTCTGAACCCTATGTACAGAATTTTTTTAAACTTTGCCAAAAGTTGTGT